ATATTACCTACTTTATTATGTAAGAGCAAATGTACACTCCTTTGCCTTTGTTGCTTCATAGACGGGTTTCATTGATGATTTTGAAGTCCAAAGGATCCGTTTGGGAAAAATATATCTGAAACCAATGAAAGGTTACATAATTTTACGGTGTCTGCATTTTGCAAATGATTCTGTAGGAGTCTTATTGAAGTTAGAAAGGTATATACAGCAACATCTGTTTTCACTTTACTCTAACTTTGTTTTCTGAAGTTAGAAATAAGTTATAACGTGCTCTGTAGCTAGGTTCATTCCAGTGCATAGGTGTGTTCATCTGTGGGCCTTATTTGGTGGCCCGGCTTGGATTGAATTGGGGTTGAGTTTAAGTCGGTCCTTATGAGTCTCGCCCTTTTAGATCAACTAGTATACCTCAAAACCATATTCAAGGGTTAGAATTTTACACACTATATACAGAAGACTTTCCCTGAAAGTTCATTTAAATAATTACTTCCCAACTCATAGATTCTTATTTCAATTTCCTTGTGGGTTGTCTGACTTTTTGTGTGTTTGAATCTTCTATCAAAGTTCCTCTGTGGTAGAAGAATCCACCAAAATCAGCATAAAAGATTTATTTTTTTAAAATGGGTCAAAAGTGAACATCCAACAATAATTTATTTTTGCTTTGCCATTCAAATCATTGTGGAACTTTGCTATTATTCAACAGTCATTGTACCTCTAAAGTCAAGCTGTCCTTCTTGGTCCATAATCAATATTTTCCCACCAATCAGATTAGGTACTTTCTTGAATGTTCTGTCATTTTGGTCATGATTTCATAACTCTGTACTTGAAAATCTGATTGAATTTGCAAGCTGCAAAGCAGAATGAATAAAAAAGCACTTTTGGCAATTGTAAACAGGAAGCACAATGTCATAAATGTGTGGGTAACTGTATGGAAAAAATGACTTTTGGATCATGGTATTTATTGCTAGACCTTGAAGCACTGTGCCAACATTTAACCTAAACCCTCCTATTTTCTAACATTGAATTAATTGATCTGAAATTCTGAAGCGAACTTTTTTAGATTTGGTCAAAATGTAAAAACCCCTGCGTACGCAAGCACCTGGTTATACGGAATAATTTTTATGTTTGAGATCATATGATGAAAGAGATAAACGTACAATTTTATATAGTTAGTTGTAGGTAAGAAAAAAGGTTGTGGAGAGGGATAAATTCATATTGTCGGTTTGTTTGGTCTGGTTTACCAGTGGAGTGGAAGGAAACCACAACATGCCCTTGGTTTGATTGGTCTGGTTTGACAGTGGAGTCGAAGGCAACCACAACATGCCCCCATTGCTCAGCTCAAGACACATTGTCGCTCACCTAAACCTAAAATAATGAAATTGTAAGCAAGAAGAAAAAGTCACTACCATGCACCGTCACCAGCGCCTTCAACCATCGTTGTCATTGCCACGAGGACCCCGTCATTCTTTATCAATAATAATATTAAGAGAATAACTGATGTGGTAGTGGTTCATTTCTCTTCACTTCCTAATTCAATTGGGATCGTATTATCATATCAATTGATTTCAAAATAAGTGCAATAAGTTGATGTCTCTAATATTATTGATAAAATAATAATATTTTTCTCCAAAGATTTGTTGAATTTCAAAGCTATTGTTATCTTAGTAATTAGCATAAATAGTATAATCTCATTTAAATACATGATGGGAAATAATTTGTTTCAATTAATGTCTAATGGAAGAGGGAGTAGATAGTGCAATCTCTCAAGGCCCAACTTTAACTTGCTTATAACGTAGTTAGGGTTAGGAAGGATGATTCTTTTGTCTGAGATCATCACTACCCATTAACTATCCATCTAATACGCTAAGAATGGTCTAGGATTCTCTGCTTAGATTTTGCCTGTAATTTCTCCTGCTTTTCTTTTTCATACGCTAAAAAGAAATAGATTGCGCGATAAGAAGTGTATCTCAAGATCTACCAGATCGCACCAGGTTAGTGGTTAGTATTCTGAAATATACACTGGGTTAGAATACTAACCACTAACCCAGTGTGATCTGGTAGATCTTGGCCTTCCATGTGTTACAATTTCTGATGGTGTGTGTCCACTGCCTGAAACAGTGGAATTTTCTAAACCAATCATGAAGTCATTATAATACCATTCTTTGTGCACCGACCGTGATTGCTGCATGATCAGCCTTTCCAACACGTATTGAGCAATAGGATTTGCTGATTTAATCTTCTATGTAATTTTTTCAAATAGGTGGACCGTAGACTTTTTTTATATATTTTTCTTCACTTCTTTTTAATTAATTAAAGAACATCGAAATTTTGTTAAAAATAAGTGTATTTTTCTGAATTTTTAACAATTAAAAGTGATTCTCAGAGAAGCACCGAAAAACACTTTTGCGATTCAACATCACTATAAAATTTTCTATTAAATGCCTTAAAAATTATTAAAAAATGCTTTCCGACATTTCAAAAGCAGTCCCAAACCAACTTTTACTTTGTTTTAGTACTTTCTCTAGGCTTACTGTCCTCCATTAATTTCTCCTATTTTTCTTGAGGTACAGATTTATAGATTATATGCCTTTGTCGCAGCACTTTATTTATTGATTTCTTGCCTCAACCACTTGGTTTTACCTTTAACTAAAGCATGAGTCACAAACTGAATAGATTATTCAAAATGATGCAAAAAAGTTCTTGCCTTGGTTCATGTGCAAATAGAATAATATTTCTTGAATATTTGTGCAAATGATGCACACATTTTATATTGTATAATTGATTTTGCAAAGATACATA